CAACGGTTGCGGCTCTATAGTAATCGCTGATTTTACTGCAGGTGGGTCTTTCCAGAGCCCTTCATGGTTTATATAACTCAATTTCCAGGTGATCAACATACACTAAGTTCTCCCAATCGTAGTATTTTATGTGATGTACATCTGACATGTTCATTTGCATATCGACCGTGAAAATACCGAAAACATTATTGCATGGGTGCTATGCAAATTAGTTTGACTCAAAATAAGTGACTGCCTAAAAGTACCATTACTGTTGTTCAAATTTCATTTCACTCGGCAAGTATATTCATGTACCCCAAGGGGAAAATATTGTACTTCTAAATATTGTTTATTTAGAAAAACGGTACTCCTGAAGGGACTACTTTGTTTGCTCTCAGACCTCATTTGCATATGGGTTGTGGAAATACCGATTTTGATTTCAGAGACGAATCAAAATAAACTGCAGTACATATGTAATATTGATTGAATATTGACCCTGCTTCTTTCGCAAATTGAATAAGCCGACATTTATTTTGCTACTCGGGCAATTCACGCTTCTCTTTAAATATTTGTTTATTGGTCAAGGAAGAATATCAAGCAGGACGCCATTTTGAATCTCTGACGGACGGGAAAACTCTTGCAAATAGAAATAAAACATGATATAGTGATCCAATTCAGACAACAATATCCATAGCAACGGTATCTGCGCACGTAATTCATATGTGAGCAGTTTTATTCCACAATGATATGAAATATATCAGAAATTCAAATCAGAACACAAACATTGTCAGTTAGATTTAGTTCAACGTCACATTAAACATAACGGATATATTCATACCAGAATGAAGTCTGACATCTCACTATTCGTTTGATACAGTGGGTTTGTATTCACATTCCTTTATAGTGAAGAAATCATATTTTAATCACAAAACACAAAAACAAATTTGGCACCGTGTTGACAGCACCACCAATTCACACATGTGCCTTCTCCGACGTTCGGCAAAATGTACATAAAAGTCCCGTCTCCATTGATAAATTTCATTCAACGCTGCTATTGTAGCGCCTCCTGATATTCGTATTCAGTCAAAGCATTCGTAGAACTTCGCCATGGTTGATTCCGCTTCATCGAAACCCGTCAAGACGACGAAGGCAGTAGCAAGTCATCCTAAGACAATGGATATGGTTGTAGAAGCACTCACGACGCTGAAAGACAGAAAGGGAATTTCTATACAAGCCATCAAGGCGTATATTCTGACTCACTACACCACCGTTAGTCCTACTCATCTCACTTCTAGTCTACGCCGTGCTCTCAAAACTGGTCTTGCATCCGGTATGTTGGTACGTCCAAAGGACTCGCATGCCAATGGTGTAAGTGGCCGTCTTCGTCTCGGTAAACTTCCACAGAAGCCTAGGAAATCGGTTAACAAGACGACACCTAAGAAAAAGGCGGTCAAGAAGACCCCGAAGAAAGACAAGAAGCCGAATGACAAGGTGAAGACAAAGAAACCCAAATCTGCTACATCCAAAAAGATCAAGAAGGCTGAAAAGTCACCGAAACCAAAGGCTAAGAAAGCCATCACGAAGAAAACTCCCAAAAAGACGGCGAAGCCAAAGAAGCCAGTCGCTAAGAAAGTGACTAAAAAGTAATAATGCACATAATGCATCCAAACAAAACGGCCCTTTTCAGGGCCATCACATCCTCCGAGAGGGAATACCGTAATAAGTCAATGTTGTGTTTTAATAAAGTTAGTGTCTAACAAAGTGATGATTATTGTCGCAGTAACATGTTCACATATGCTCAGTCGATTGTATGGGCGGTGTTGAAATAAACGTGTTATCAAACATGTATTCGTTCATATTCGTAGCTTCAAAATCGAGTGAGTTGCTACCTCCGCGGTGCTCCAAACCCAAGTGTGTTGAATACTAGTACTATGAATACCCGTGGGCAAAAAATCCTGGGATGGTGTCTGGCCAGCCCGGATAAAGTTTATTAAACGTGACTAAAATATTCAGTGTAGTAAGTAATCCTCGCCATGGTTGATTCCGCTTCATCGAAACCTGTCATGACGACGAAGGCAGTAGCAAGTCATCCTAAGACAATGGATATGGTTGTAGAAGCACTCACGACGCTAAAAGACAGAAAGGGAATTTCTGTACAAGCCATCAAGGCTTATATTCTGACTCACTACACCACCGTTAGTCCTACTCACCTCACTTCTAGTCTACGCCGCGCTCTCAAAACTGGTCTTGAATCCGGTATGTTGGTACGTCCAAAGGACTCGCATGTCAATGGCGTAAGTGGTCGTCTTCGTTTCGGTAAACTTCCACAGAAGCCTAAGAAGAAATCGGTTAACAAGACGACACCAAAGAAAAGGGCGGTCAAGAAGACCCCGAAGAAAGACAAGAAGCCGGAAGACACGATGAAGACAAAGAAACCCAAATCTGCTACATCCAAAAAGAAGGCTGAAAAGTCACCGAAACCAAAGGCTAAGAAAGCAACAACAAAGAAAACCATCACGAAGAAAACTCCCAAAAAGACAGCGAGCCAAAGAAGCCAGTCGCTAAGAAAGTGACTAAAAAGTAATAATGCACATAATGCATCTAAACAAAACGGCCCTTTTCAGGGCCATCACATCCTCCGAGAGGGAATACCGTAATAAGTCAATGTTGTGTTTTAATAAGGTTAGTGTCTAATAAAGTTATGATTATTGTCGCAGTAACATGTTCACATCAGCTCAGTCGATTGCACGGGGGGTGTTGAAATAAACGTGAAATCAATTATAATAATATACTGCGTACATCGTTCGGCTTTGCCTGTCGAATCGCGTGAGTTGCGCCCTCGGCGGTGCTCCAGACCTAAGTGAGTGGGTTGAATACTTTGAATACCCGTGGGCAAAAAATCCTGTCTGACCAGCCCGGATAAAGTTTATTAAACGTGGCTAAAATACCCCAGTGTAGGATAATTTTAGTAAGTAATGTGATACACCATGATTGCTTAAAAAGAAATACAACCCGTATTTGTAAGATCACGTCTTGCAACAGGATAGTGTGCAATTATTGCCTTTGCCTTTTCCCCCGGCCACGCACAGTATATGGCGGAATTTCCGAATAAAATAATTAATTTGGTGGAACAAGTTTGACACTTTCACTTCTGTGTAAAATATGGGAAATATTTTATTTAAATAATTGAGTATACTTTCAGATATGTTCACATCTACACCGCATCCCATATGCCCGAAATAAACACTAGTGATACAGTAACTTTATTTGCATAGAATGATGTGGTATAATTCATGAAGGCTATACCTGCGCGTTATGTAGTATTTTAAGTTGGTGCTACTGACTATGGAGACATTTTTTAGCTCCATGTACCAGAGTGTCATTCTTATTCTTGGCTATACAAGACAGAGGCGTTAATCGTCTTTGAGACTCGCTGCAGTGACACGTTCACACTCCTTTGTAGTACACATTCAGAATTTGACGTTTATACTAGTGGTCTTAAAATTAGCACGCCAATCACTATAGTAACAAAACCCATATACCAACAACCACATTGAAAGTAAACGTGTGAACAAGTTCATTTGTATTTACAAAAAAATGGCGCCAAATCCTGCAACTGATGTACTGAATACATGGTGCCAGTTTATA